CTGTCATTTATTTCCCTTAACCTTTCCTCATGATCTTTTGTTTTCCTCTTTTTTCCTCAGCCTCGTTCCTTGACATCAACTTGTCTTCTATGTCACTCACTCGTTCTTCTACCTCATTAACCCTCGTCGTTAGGACCTCCAGTTTGGATTGCAACTCATTTAACTGATTTTTAATTTTGGCCTTCTTAGATCTAAATTCTGCAGTCATGAAGCCTCTTGATTCCTTTATGCTTTTTTCCAGAGCCACCAGTAGCTTTATAATTGTTCTTCTGAATTGGCTTTCTGACATTGAATTGTAATCCAAATTCTGTAACTCTGTGGAAGAGAGTACTGTTTCTGTTTCTTTTGTGGTGAGTTCTTCCTTCTAGTCATTTTGCTCAGTGCAGAGTGGCTAAAAGCAAGTCGTACTGGAAAAAGGAAGAAAAAAGAAAAAAAAGGGGAGGGAACAAACAACAAACAAAAGACAAGGAGGGGTGTTCTCTGATTCTATAAACTGTAAGTCCTTCGACTTCCCCTGGAACTTTCCAGTGCTGCTTGGTCAAGAACTTGCTCTTCCCCTGTCCTTCCAGCTGGTCTTCTGGGGAAGGGGCCTGCTGTGCTGATTCTCAGGTGTGTGCACCTGGGGGAGCTGCCCCGCCCCCTGCTGGGTGCCGGGCTCTGTGGGAGCTGTTTATCCTATGAGGCCCCTGCTCCCTGGCGCCCTGCTCAGTTCCAGGCACAAGGCGACACCAGGAGGAACAACAACAGTGGCGGCAGCCAGCTCTCCAGCTCTGGAGTCAGCTCTACCAGCAACTACTGCTGTCTCCCAGTCCACAGGGGCCTGGATGCTCTGGGGGCGGGGGGTGCTGATCTGCACAGCTCAGGGTCGATGGTGGCAGGAGCGTCCTTATTGTCCTGTGTCCTCCCAGCCTCCGCCTGTCCCAAGGGGAGCGCCAGATCCTGGGCTATGTCCCCCGGCGCCCTGGGCTCCAGGGTCTGCGCCGCTGGAATTGTGCTCCCGGGCTGCACAGCCCCCTCTGCACAGAGCTGCTGCCTGAGCGGCTCCCGGGGCCCCACCGGGTGCACTCCAGCCCTTTTCGGAGCTCCGCCCGTGGTGTGTGGCGCCCTCTCCCCTGGGCCACACTTCATCTGTTAGTAGCCCCGGGAACCTGGGGGCTCCACTGCCCCTCCTGGGATCCTGCCTGAGTTCCCTGTGAGCGCCTTTCCGTCAGGGAAGATTGGTAAAGTTCCTGTTTCTCTGGGACTAGACTTCCCTGTCCTGGAGGCACTCGCTACCTGGCCTTAGCCCAGCTCCTCGCGGGGCGGGGTGGGGGGAGGGCCTCCCTCTTGGATGCTGTTTTATTTATTTTTTTCCCGTCTTCCTACCTTGATAGAAGTGCAAACTCTTCTCACTGTAGCATTCCAGCTGTACTCTCTTTAAATCTCAGGCCAAAAGGGACACAGAACATAAAGACTTCTAACTCTGGGAAATGAACTAGGGGTGGTGGAAGGGGAGGAGGGCGGGGGGTGGGGGTGAATGGGTGACAGGCACGGAGGGGGACACTTGACGGGATGAGCACTGGGTGTTATTCTGTATGTTGGTAAATTGAACACCAATAAAAATTAATTTATAAAAAAAAAAAACCAATTTAAATGCAAAAAAAAAAAATAAATAAATAAAGGTGTCCTAAATAGTAAAAAAAAAAAAAAAATCTCAGGCCAAATTCGTAGGTTTTCAGGATGATTTGAAAGTTATCTAGGTAAGTTGGTGGAGATAGGTGACTTGGGGATCCTACTCTTCCGCCATCTTACATACTCTGGATTTAAACCTTTATAAGATATATATAATTTTGCAAATATTTTCTCCCACTCTAGGTGTTGTCTTTTCATTTGAGGGGTAATGTCCTTAGATATCCAAGTTTTTTATTTTAACGAAGTCTCATTTACCTACTCTTTCCTTTGGGGCTGGTGCTATTGGTGTCATATCTAAGAATCCACTGCCAAATCTAAGGTTATGATGGCTTATCCCTATGTTTTCTTCTAAGAGCTTTATGGCTTTAGCTCTTAAATTTAGGTCATTGGTCCATTTTAAATTAATTTTTATATGATGTGTGGCAGGGATCCAACTTCATTCTTTTGTATATGGAAATCCAGTTATCTCAAGCCTCATCTGCGAAAGAGTCTATTCTTTCCTACACTGAATGAACTTAACACTCTCAAAAAAATAAGTTGTCCATTGTAATAGTTTCCTAACAAAGTATCACAAGATGGCTTAAAACAACATAAATTTATCCTCTCACAGTCTGGACTCTAAAAATCCAAAATCAAGGAAATAAGATAGGGCCTTATTTCCTCTAACACTTGTGGAGAGGATCTTTTCTTTCCTTGCCTCTTCCAGCTTCTGGTGGACTCAGGTGTTCTTTGGTTTCTGGCAGCCTGTCATCTCCACTTCTGTTTTTACATAGCTGTTTTTCCTCTGGGTCTGTCTTTTCCTTTCCTTATGAGGACATTGAGTCATATTAGATTAGTGTCCATCCTAATGACTTTATCTTGGCTATTTCTAAATAAGGGCACATTTGCAGGTATGGAAGATTAATGCTTCAATACGTTTTATAGGGGGACACAATTCAAACCAGATACAGCCACAGATATATACAGAGGTTTATTTCTACGCTCTCTATTCTATTCCACTTGTCTATATAGAGTCTGCCTTTATACAAGTCAGTATCACCAGCTTTGTAGTGTTTTGGAATCCTTTTCAGGATTGTTTTACCCTTTTTTTTTTTTTAATTTTGCCAGACTTTGACAAGTTTTTACTTTGCCAAACTTAGCCAAACTCTTCAGAAACATCTTTTATTATCAGTCTTTATTATGGGTCACATTTTTCTGCTTCTTTACAAGACTGAGTTTTTATTATATACCAGACACTATAAATTTTGCCTTTTGGGAATGTTGGATATTTCTGTATTCCTATAAATATTCTTGAACTTTGTTATGGGACATAGTTAAGTTACTTGAAAAGAGTGTGACCCTTGGGTACGCTTTTCAGATTTAGATGAAGGCAGAACTCAGTCTATGGTAAATTACTCGCTACTACTGAGGGGGTAGAGATCAGATCAATGCCTCATGAATTACGAGGTTTTGCAGTCTTGCTGTTAAGAGAGGCACCATTCCTGACCATGCTACTGCCCCACACTGTCAACTCTATCCTTTTCTTTGCTTTTTTCCCCCCTCTCTGGGTTATTTTCTTCACATATCTGTGCTAAACAATACTCTACAGAATACTGAAGGATTACCCCTGCCAAGTTCTTTTTCTGTGTACCTCTTTCCTCTCTGATGTCCTGTGAACTGGAACTACCTTGTTCTCCTTAGACTCACAGCTTTCTCCCTCCTCCTCAGAAATTGTCAGACAACTTCCATTTGTTATACATAGTCCAGGAATAGACACCATAACAGTCATGTCTCTTAATATTCTTATTTCCATCTAAGACGAGACTTATCCTGCAAGCTCCTTAAGAATCATTCTCACATTTCCTGGCTGGTTGATACAAATGCCACATAGAAAGCACCTCTTCACTCTCTGGTAAATGAGCTCCCCCTATTTGTGCCTAAGATAGGGTCCAATTCTATGAGGCCTTTATCCAAACAGAATCAGTACTGCCTTTTTGTCAGTTGGCACTCTCAACACCTTATCTCACTGAGAACCACAAAAAATATCTGTACTACTCTATTCCTAGCACTTATGTTGTTTAATTAAGGTGTCATTGTATGCAACTTACTCATACACTACACTTAGTACATTCATATACTATACTCACATAGCTATATAGTGGCTTAAGTTTTATTGTCCCAGAACTGTAAAATAAGTTCCCTAATTTTAAAGTAAACATGTATAACTAACATATGTAAATTTGATTTTTCTAGGGATAACTCAGGGTTTCTCAATCTCAGCACTATAGATATTTAGAGCCAGATACCTCCTTGTTGTGTGTGTTTAGGGTGGGGAGAGAAGTATGCTGTACACTATAGGATGCTTAATAGCACATGTGGCCTCTTGGCCTCTACCTACTAAATGTCAGCTGTGACCACATCCAACCTCCCACCACATTTAACAATCCGATATTGCCAAATGTCCTTTGTGCAGGGGGTGGCAAGATCACCCCAGCTGAGAACTACTAGGCTAACAGAATGAACATTTCTATCCTTAAGTATTTGTTTACAGTTTTTAACAACAGAAAAAGGAGGAAGAGTAAGGGGATAAGACTTAATTCCAAACTGACAGGAACCTGTTAAAATAACTAATTCTCAAAAATCTGGAGATCCATTTTTCTAATTACCTTACTCAAATACATTGTAAATATGTTTTTTTTAATTTTTTTTTTTATTTATTTACGATAAATAAATAAAGAGAGAGAGAGCCAGAGACACAGGCAGAGGGAGAAGCAGGTTCCATGCACCGGGAGCCCGACATGGGATTCGATCCCGGGTCCCCAGGATCGTGCCCTGGGCCAAAGGCAGGCGCCAAACCGCTGCGCCACCCAGGGATCCCACATTGTAAATATGTTTTAAAAGTAACTTCTTTATACATAATGCAGTAAATACCATCAATCTTTAATTATGCTCAATCTACTGAAAGGTATCATAATGAACATCTTGAAAAGAAGCAGAGAAACTAATTTCCCTATCACTGAAGCATTCATTATTAAAATTCAGTTTTACTTCATGCTATGCTAATTTTATGAATTATTTACAAGTCTTAAAGTACATAATGTGAAACTTCTTACTTGAAAATAAACTTCTCTACTCTAAGATCTCATTTTTCAAAATATATTCCCCAAGACTTAAAGCTAATTTTTAGGCGATTCAAGAGGGAGAAAATTAATTAAACTGGTAGCTAGAGTTAAAAGAAGGAGAGCCAGAAAGTTCAAATCTATGTAGTGTTATTCTCCAAAGGAACAGAAGAATATTTTATACCAGTTCCAGGTTTTGAGTAGACACGTCTAGAAGTCTAATGCAATTACCTGCAACATGAGCTCACAGTCATCTCTTCCAACAAAAATCATTTCTCGTGGCAGCCTGTGGCGAGTGCCTCCACTGCTCACCAAAAACCAGGATGTTAAGCTCATTTTCTGCTTAGCTTCTAAGTCTCTGGCAAAACTACGTCATCCTGCAGAGATATTGAAGAAAAACATACATTCAGAAATTTTTAGCTTTAGTATCTATTCATCAAACTTTTTAAAGCAGGCTTAAGAATAGAACTGCATTAATCATCTACTCCTAGCTAAGTAAACAGTCCAGAGGTCCTACAACACAATAGATTTACCAAATTCTCAGGAGTGTATTAAGTCCAAAGACTCAATATTAAGAGTTCAATTAAAAAGGAAGATATTAAATTAAATAGTCAACCAATTCACACTTATCACACTTCTGAAAGGCTTTGAGCACAGCTTATAAAGGTCTACAATTCTCAAGTAAATGATCATGATATTATGTTAACCTGAGTAAAAACCAACATTATACAAATAAATGTCTGATTTATAAATAATTTGAGAAAGACGAAGTTCAAATGTATATATTTGATATCTGATTAAGAACTGTAAGTAAAAACCAAAGAAATTGTCAACGAAGCACAGACCACTGAAAGAACTTTTAAAACTATGCAATTGCAATTTCTCTGTCCTCACATGTACTTCACTTTCTTAGGACATTTTTCTAGAGTAGCAATTTTTTCGTTTTTTGTTCTTGGAACCCATTACACCCTTTTGTTTTATTTTTTTAAAAATTTATTTGAGAGACAGAGAGCAAGAGCGAGAGAGAGCATGAATGCGGGAAAGGCAGAGAAAGGGAGAAGCAGACTACCCAGTGAGCAGGGAGCCCATGCATGGCTCGATCCCAGGACCCCAGGACCACGACCTGAAGGCAGATGCTTAACTGAGTCAACCAGACACCCCTCATTTCACTATTTTTTAAAAAAAGAACCCCAAAGAGCATTTTGTTTATATGGGTTACATATGTCATTTACCATAAAAAGAAATAAAAACTGAGAAACGAAGATTTATTCATTTAAAAAAGAAGGCCTGCCTTCATTCAGATAATTAGAAAAGAGAAATTTATTTATTTTATTTTATTTTATTTATTTTATTTTATTTATTTAATTAATAGTTTTCTCAAAGAACTGTAGTTTTTTCTTTGATACTACATCAAAACTTTGAACTTCAAGTTTCTTGAAGTTTACTTATAATAAGATATCTGAAACTTTTTATAGTATGCTACATGAAAATTCATCTTCAACTTTGAAGGAATCTTGTATTATAAATTCATCATTTGGAAAATATTGGTTCCCTGAGTTACACAGATCTTCCAAATGATGACACATTCATTTTATTATTTAAAAACATCCCATTCATTAATTTCACCACTCATCTCCTCAAAAAAGCCTTTAAGTGCTAGGTAGCTGTGAGGATCATGGTGGCAGAATCAAGTTTTCTAAAATCCTAATTTTCTCTTGAAACCTCAAATTTTATTGACAACAAAATACTACCAGTTCTTTTTTTTTTTTTTTTTTTGAGATGACAGGCTTTGTTTGCAAAATACTCAAGTCTACAAAACCATAAATTTGCCCATCAGTCATTGTTTCAAGTAACAAGGTGCTCCATGAAACAAGTGGGTAGTGAAGTTCACAACTCAATGATACAGATGCTTCCCACTGGGACAACCAGGTACTTTGGTATACAACATAAGTGCTTTATATGTCCTTCCAATTACTTGTACAGAATATTAAAAAAGATGTGACTCATTTTTACCACTTTATCAAAGACATTCTTAAGTGAAACTGGATTTTCTTTTTTTTAACTGCAGGTACATGGCAGTGAAGGATACAATTACTATTAGTATAGTTCGGCCTAGATCTATGCCAAGCAACGAGCAGCTTTACCCACCTTTCTTTTTATACTAGAAGTTCAAAAAAGGTAAATAATGTTTTGATGTTATTATGAAAATAGTTTTAACCTCTTGAACCTCTGAAATGGTTTCAGAACTCCCAGAGGCCTGTGGATTGAGCTTTGAGAACCACTGTGCTACAGAAGGTGGCTATGTCATTTAGAACTTAAACTTTGGAGTCAGATTGACAGATCAAGAATCTGTCTTGTCTCTTGATTGCAACACTTTACTTTTTATACAACATGACCTGGGGCAAAGTTACTTCTCTCCTGCTCATTAGTTTATTCTTTCCTAAAATAGGGTAATGATAGTATCTACTCAATACTTTTTTCTTAGGAATCAAAAAACTATTTGTAAACATTTTTTCCAAGAAATGGCACATTCTGGGGATCCCTGGGTGGTGCAGCAGTTTGGCGCCTGCCTTTGGCCCAGGGCGCTATCCTGGAGACCCGGGATCGAATCCCACATCGGGCTTCCGGTGCATGGAGCCTGCTTCTCCCTCTGCCTGTGTCTCTGCCTCTCTCTCTCTCTCTCTCTCTGTGACTATCATAAATAAATATTTTTTAAAAAAAAGAAATGGCACATTCTGTTACAATTTAAATAGAAGCGAATTATACTACGGTGAACTGAAACATTCTGCAATAAGAACTATATCTATACATTAAAGCAAAATCCTACAAAATGTAGAATTTTATGTCAAGGTAAAAATATCATGGATTATAAATTTATCAGCACATACAAGAAACAGTGGGTTTCACTAAAACAGGCAAATAATATTCTGTAAAATCCAAACAATAGGGACTACTGGATTTTGGCAGCTCAGGGCATGACTCAATCTGGAGATCGAGTCCCATTGTCAGGCTCCCTGTGAGGAGCCTGCTTTCCCTCTGAACTATGTATCTGCCTCTTCTCTTTCTCTCCATGTCTCTCATGAATAAATAGACAAAATCTTAAAAAAAAAAAAAAAAAAGCCTAAACAATCAAGTCTTGCTCCACTCTCAGCTTACCAATTGATATGGTCAATTTATTTGGGTTTTTAAATCTTTCATCCACCTAACTCTGTGCTGGAAATGTTGTTAATCTTCCAACTGTCTAGTCTCTATCAAATTGGCTTTTAGCATTTCACATGTACATCCTGGCCAAGTCAACACAGAATCAAAAAAATTTTATGCAAGAAAAACCCTCCAATCTAAATACAGCATTTAAGTTGCATACTGCATTTATAAACCAACAAAAGAACAATTTTGAAACATGATAATAAGTAAGCTATTATTTATATATTTATTTAAAGGAACTGGAAAACAAAAAACTACAATAAGACATGTTAAAAGGAAATGAAGTTAGTCTAAACACTGAAAACTAAAACAGCACAGCCAAACATGGTAATGGGAATACAACATTTTCAAAATCAAATTTTATGTGAACATTGTTTGTATGCTACAAAAACACTGTTTTAAGTATTTAGACAACATCAAATAGAATTATATTAATATACAAATATGTACCCTATAATTCTATAATATAAATATACAAACAATAATTATAGTTTATCCTTGAACAGTTCGAACTGCATGAACCTGCTTATATGTGGATTTTTTGATACAGTATGATAATTACAATTTCTCTTCCTTATGATTTTCCTAATAACATTTTTCTTTTCTCTAGCTTACCTAATTCTAAGATTATAACACATAATACATGTAACATAACAATATGTGTTAACAGTTTGTTATTGGTAAGGCTTCTGGTCAACAGTAGGCTATTAGGAGTTACATTTTAGGGGAGTCAAAAGTTATACATGGATTTGCAACTGTGTAGGGCTTGGAACTCCTAACACCTGTATTGTTCAGGGGTCAACTACATATAATTTCATAAAATATGAAAATAATGGCTTTTAATATATATTTTTGACTTTCACTGACACTTAAAAGATAAATAAACAAATACATAATTTCTGAAACAAAATAAAAGTTATCCTCAAGATGAGGGGTATTTATTTACTGGAGTGGTACAACGGCCTTGAGACCTCTTCTAGCTTCTCAACAGCAGGTGGGAATGAGATATCACAAAAAAAGCTACTGCTTTTCCATTTTTACATAGGGCTCTCTCCTTATCTAAGACAGCTTTCTCACCGGTCCTTCAATTCCAATGATCTTTTTCTACTCACTGAGTAATACAAACACTCACACACAGATAAAACTGAAACCTGGTTGAGAGTTTCCTCAAAGACCAAGCTAGGTTTCAGCTCAGGATCCTCTAAGGGTTGGGGGAATAAGAAGCCTTTGGGTTCAACAATTGTAGAGAAATGCCCGAGGTGTTGACCAGATGTGACAGCAGTTACATTTCCTTGTACAGTTTCTGGATGAGCCAAGAAAACATGTGTTTTGGAGTAGACTTTCTGAATTAAAACCCCAGTCCCTCGTGCTAAGTGACTCAAAACCCCCAAAATGACAAAAATAACAACAAATGCTTCTCAGTTTTAGATATATCTGTACAAAGAAAAAAAAAAAACCCAAAGAGAATATCTAAAGACAAAATGAAACACAGATATGGTATCTTATAATACCTGGCATATGGAAGGTACCCAATTAATGTTCGTCTCCTTCTCTCCCTCTCCTCCTAATCTTTTCTGCCAAATAATACCCTAAAGTTGTAACTTGAGACTAGAACAGTATCAACCAAACAAGTAACATTTACTGAGTATTTTCTATGTCAATTCTCTAAAGTATTCACTTAAAGGACACTTTAGGATAAAAATTGTGACAATATAATGTAGCTCATGGATTAATCATAAAATTAAAAATGTTAGTCTTTATATTTCATTCATATTTCAACTCTAGAGAAGTTTAATGGATCATTTATTAAAATTCCTACAACACTTTCTCAAAGCATGAACAGTCTTCATTGGGATCTAAAGTCTGATTGTACAGAGGATCATTGAGTTTTTTGAAGACTGCAGGCCCAGGCCCTCTTACATATTCAAATTATACCACAAACTATAACCTTTGCCCTGTGATTCTGCATTCTTCCAATCAGAGGTGGGGTATAATCTCCCACTCCTTAACTCTAGGCTCTGCCTTATAATTTGTTTTGGCCAACAGGATGACATCAGTATACATGATCCAAATAGAGCCTAAAATGTGCTTGGGCAATTGGCTTGCCCTCCTGCACCTGTGCCATCACAAAAAAAAAAAAAAAAAAAAAGAACATGCCCTGGCTAGCCTATTTGTCCAAGATGAATGAGAGATATGTCAAACAGACATAGATCTAACATGTAACTTGAAATAGGGTGGTCAGTATATCATCCAACCTCCAGCTAAACAACAGATATATGAGCAAAAAATAAAAATGTTGTTTGAAGTCCCTAACAGATGTGAGCTGATTTGCTTCACCACTGACTATAATGCACACGGAGTATAATTTACTAAAATACAGTATCTTTCCGTAAGTACATTCAGTCCAATACATTCACTTGAGTATCTTTAGAATTTACAAATGAAATGTTTTCATTGTCTCTTTTCCCTATTTACTCTTTTCTTGATGGTAACATTTATTTGTATAATTAAATATAAGGCTGCTATATATATCACAGAATTAGAGGTAAAGCTCTCAGCTTATTGTAACAAAGAACCAGTAATTGGAAAATCCAGCAGTGCTAGAAAATGCAAGCTCCCTTTCTTTGGGTGGGGAGGCAATATTCTTAGTTTACTTTTTTCCCCTATGGAGTTCAGTTTACTACAGGTGACTACTCCCATATCCCTCACTAATGGGCAATAAACACACTGCTGATATTGTAAGAGCTAAACAAAGAAGTGGTTTAGGGGGTTTCACTGCTCTAGTTGCAGTTTCTACATATTAATCTCCTTGGCTAAGCAAAGCACTTCTACTCTAGTAAGCAATTTAATTCCTAAGCTTAGGAATATCAAAAAAATGTGGAAACAGGAAGCTCCAGGAATCCACTTCTCCATATAAATGACTATTGAACTCCTAATAACTATATGAAGTAACTGTTTGGGGGCTCTGGTGTCTAGCCAAACAACTGCTAAACTTCAGTATTTTGCATGGTAGCACGTACCATCCCCATTTCCTATTCCAAAAGCTCCAAGAAGTAGCTTGTGGATATCCTCCTGAATTTCTAGCGTGACTCACTGGAGAGGATATATAAGAAAGACTTTCTCATCAAAATATTGGACTGTGTGCTCTGGCATGAGCCTTTGTGCTGGCCATCATTGCTTCAACTCCTAAAAGCTGAAGCATCTTTTAAGGAATTTGGAGAGTCAAGTGTGCATGTTTCTCTGTTTTCTTTCCCTTTTGGGAATCAGGTATTTAAGGAAATCCTTATGAAGTCACTGGCTGACCACAGAGATGACAAAAAACAAATTTTAGTGACCACACACAACAAGGAATACACACCTTGCAAACACAGTTTCAAAGAGTAACATACAGTTGGCTTCAGCATTCACCAAGGGATATTCAGCAATCCCTAAGTAGTGGGATAATTAAATTTCCAGATTTATCACAATATAATGCTTTAATATCCAGTTTGGTTCTCAAACTATATAGAGAGCAAGCAACAGGAAAATTCACTTGTAGGGGGGTAAAATGGACAGAAACCATCCCTGGGGAAGCCTAGACATTTTAATTATTAGTCAAAGGTAGTAAATCAACTGCCTTACATGTGTTATGTGACAAAGAACTAAGGGAAATCAGCGAAATGATCTAAGAGAAAGCCAAGATCATAATAGGAAGATACAAATAATATAAAACGAAAGGGCTCTTCTCGGAGTCGGTTTTGGGCTCCGAGTCTGGTGGCGAGCGGCCCCCGCCCCCGTTCCCCCCTCCCCCCGCCCTCCGAGGTGGCACCTGCGCAGGAGTCTGAGACCTCCTTTTCCAGAGTTCCAGAATGGAGACTGAAGGGTACCTAGAGACACAAAGAAGTAAAGAAGTCCAGAATGATAAAATAGGGTCACCTTCAAATGAGATGATGGCTGAGGAGCCACAAGTTGTCCTAATATCAGCTCCCCAGGTCCAGGCTCCACCAGAGCACCTCGATGCAGACTCAGTTGAAGATGTGGAGACCATGCCACGAAGGAATCCTCCCAATGCGGCAGCCTCTAGGCAGAGGTTCCGGAGATTCCGCTATGAGGACGCAGCTGGGCCCAGGGATGTCCTCAGACATCTCCAGGAGCTTGCCGGACAGTGGCTGAGACCCGATATTCACACAAAGGAGCAGATTGTGGAGATGCTGGTGCAGGAGCAGTTCCAGGCCGTCCTGCCTGAGGAGCTCAGAGCTCGGGCCCAGAGATGTCAGCCTGGGGTCAGAATCACTGGCTAAGTTCTGCCACTGGGTTCTTGCTCAGCCTACAGGTCACCCGGGCTTTCTGTGTGTGGAGAACTGTCCTTTGGTTGACCACTGAGACAGAGCAGTCTAGCTGTGGTGGTGACAAGCACAGAGTAAACTTAGCAGCTGCTTCTCTTCAGTGTAACCCAGTCTCGAGTAACCTTTCTGCCTCTGGCCTGGCTCCTGATATGTACATCTGCTCCTGGAACCATCTAGGTGCCAATTCAGAAACTAATTTTTGGTAGAGGGACGAGTTAGCTCTAAACTGGAACTCTTGTTGATTTTGCTGGTGTCTTAATACTTCCTGTGCCTTTGGAATGGGTCTAGATGTGAGAATACAAATATAAAGCCCAGTATAAAGGAAATGTATAGTTTTTGAAGAGAGAGGAAGACCTTGAATTATATGAGTAGGATCATTAATAAAACTAGTCTTTTGGTATTTGATTTGGAGATAGCACAAAGAAAACACTTTTTTCTTTTCTTTAATTTATTTGAGAGAGAGAAAGGGGTAGGAGCAGTGGGAGAGGGATAAGCAGACCCCACTCCCACTTGGGGGGGGCTCTATCCAAGGACCCTGAGATCACTACCTGAGCTGACATCAGATGCTTAACTGACTGAGTCACTCAGGCTCCCCAAAACCCATTTCCTATTTTAAAAAGTACATTAGAAGCAGAGGAGAGAAGAAATAGCCAAGTTAGGGAAGTGAGGTTTTTGGGGTTTTTTTTTGTGTGTGTTTTTTTTTTTATTTTAATTTGAGGAAGGGAGAGAGCATGAGCAGGGGAGGGGCAGAGGGAGAAGCAGACTCCCCACGAAGCAGGGAGCCAGACTCACGACTTGATCCTGGGACTCCTGGATCATGACCTGAGCCAGAGGCAGACACTTAACTGACTGAGCCACCCAGGCACCCCTGGAAGTGAGATTTTAATTGAACTTGAGTGGGAGATCACTGGACAAAGTCACACCTTGAGCAAATGTATAGGAATGCTTGGAGACAGCAAACGAGTGAACTGTCCCTTGTATTGACTAGGTTAAGCTTTTCTTTTTAAAACCATTTTATTGGGGATTCCTGGGTGGCGCAGCGGTTTGGCGCCTGCCTTTGGCCCAGGGCGTGATCCTGGAGACCCAGGATCAAATCCCACGTCAGGCTCCCGGTGCATGGAGCCTGCTTCTCCCTTTGCCTGTGTCTCTGCCTCTCTCTCTCTGTGTCTATCATATATAAATAAATCTTAAAAATAAAAAAAAAAAACCATTTTATTGGGCAGCCCTAGTGGCGCAGCGGTTTGGCGCCGCCTGCAGCCTTGGGTGTGATCCTGGAGACTCGGGATCAAGTCCCACATTGGGCTCCCTGCATGGAGCCTGCTTCCCCCTCTCCCTGTGTCTCTGCCTCTCTCTCTGTGTGTCTATGAATAAATAAATAAAATCTTTAAAAAAAAATAAAACCATTTTATTTCAAAAGAAAAAAAAATAAAATAAAATGAAAGGTCACTATGGAAGTTCAATAGCAGATTTCAGCAAAAAGAAGAAATGATCAGCAAATCTGAAGGTAAGACAACTTGAAATATCTAGTGTGACAGAAAAAAAAAGAGTAACATAAACAGAGCCTGAGGGATCTGTAGTATATTGTCAAATGTAGCCACACATACATTATAGGAGTCCCAGAAGGAGAAGAGACAGAGAAAGGGGAAGAAATAATGACAAAAAACTTGCCAAGTCTGAGGAAAGATACAAACACATCCAAGAAGCTCAACAAACTCCAAGCAGGATAAATTCACTCAGATCCAGACTCATCCATATTATACTCAAACTGCCAAAACTGAAAGAAAAAGACCATTTTGAAAACATCAAGAGAAGACACTTGTCATGTATCCCTAATAAGATTAATGGCTGATTTCTCCTCATAAGCCATGGAAGTGAGAAAGCAGTGGGATGGCATATTTATAAAGTCTGGGGTTAAAAACTGTCAACCAAGAATTCTGTATCTAATAAAACTAAATCTTATAAATGAATCACAATTAAGACTTTCCAGTTAAGCAAAAGCTGACAGTTCATTACCAGTATACTGACCTACAGAAAAATGGAAAAGAAAGACTTTCAGGCTGATATGAAGACACTAGACAGTAACCATGAGAAGCCATGAGAAAAATTAAAGATAACAAAAGTAAAATAAATATGTAGGTAAATATAAATCCAAGATGATTGTTCTTCTGATATGATTTGCAGCTTTTCTCTTTTTCCAGTATGATGTAATAGGCAAATACATACAACAAAACTTATAAAGCGGGACGCCTGAGCGGCTCAGTGGTTGAGCATCTGCCTTCAGCTCAGGGCGTGATCCTGGGGTCCTGGGATCGAGTCCTGCATTGGGTTCTCTGCAGGGAGCCTGCTTCTCCCTCTGTCTGTGTCTCTGCCTCTCTCTCTCTATGTTTCTCATGAATAAATAAATAAAATCTTACAAAAAAAAACATAAAGCTATGTCAATAGGAATACAATATATAAAATGTAATCTGTGACAAATATAAAATAACACAGGAGGGAGGGAGACGTACAGAAGCAAAGTGTTTGTATACTCTTAAAATTAAGTTGGTATTACTGAAATTAGGTTATTATAAATTTGAGATGTCATTTGTAATCCTCAAGGTAACCACTAAGAAAATAACTAAAAAAACACACAGGAAAGGAAATCTAATGACACATTAGCAAAAAATCAACTAAGTACAAAAAACATGCAGTAGTGGAGAAATGGAGGAACAACAACAACAACAAAAAATTTAAAAGAATGTAAAAAATAGGTGACAGAAGTAAATTCTTCAGAAACCATATTAAACACATATGTATTAAACTCTCCTATAAAAAGGCAGAAAAAGGAGTTCAGATACAATTACAAGATATGTTGGGGTGCCTGGGTAGCAGCTGGTTGAGCATCCGACTTTTGGTTTCAGTTCAGGTCATGATCACAGTATTGTGAGATGGAGTTCTCAGTTAAGCTCTACACTCAGCAGGAAGTCTGCTTGAGATTCTCTCTCCTTCTCCCTCTGTCCCTCCCTCCAGCTTGCCCTCACTTGTATGAGCTCTCTAAAATAAATAAATGAATCTTCAAAACAAATAAGATCTCTCTATACACTGCCTACAAGAGTTTCTATAGATACAAGGACACAAAGAGGTTAAAATGTTGAAAAAAGATATTCCATGCAAATTTTAACTCCCCAAAAAGTAGAAGTGGCTGTATTACTATCAGAAAAAATAAATTTCAAGGAAAGATTATAAGAAACAAAAGAGGACATTACATATTGATAGAAGATTCAACATAGCAACACATAAAAAATGTAAACATATCTATACCTAACAACAGAGGCTCAAAAGATACAAAGCAAAAATAAACAGAATTTTAAAAGTGGAGAGTTGAGCAATAATAGTAAGAAACTTCAACACCCCACTTTTAACAATGAAACAAAAACTAGACAGAAGATCAATAAACAGAGGACTTGACAGCACTACAAACCAATATACCTAACAGACATATATAAAATGTTCAATTCAACTACAGCAGAATCCTAATTTTTTCAAGTACACAAAGCACATTCTCCAGGACAGCCCATTATGTTAGACTAGAAACAACTTAATTTCAAGAGTGAAAAGTGCAAAACAACTTTTCCAATCACAATAGAAGGAAATTAGAAATCAGTAACAGAAATGAAAATAAGAATATTCTCAATAGGTGGAACTTAACACACTGTCAACAACCAATGGGTAAAAGAAGCAGTCATAAGAGAATGAAAAAATCCAATGAGACAAGTGAATATAAGAACATAACATACCAAAACTTATAGGACTGTACAAAAGCAGTAGTAAGAGGGAAATTTACTGCTGTGAATGTATATATTTAAAAAGAAATATCTTAGACTAATAACTTGTTATTAACTATTAATCATCTGTAATTCTTAACACCTTAAGGAATGAGAAAAGAGGAAACGAAACACAAAGCTACTGAAGGAAGAAAATCATAAAGAATAAAAATAAATGAAATAAGAGCATTAAAAAATAAGAGAAAAATCAATAAAAGTTATTTCTTTGAAAGAAGACTCAAATCTCAAATCCCTAAAATCTGAAATAAAAATGGTGACATTACTGATTTTGATACATAAAATAGGATTATAAGAACATTACAAACCGGTGTAAGCTAAAAAACTGGATAACCTAAATGAAATTGACAAATTCTAGAAACACACAACCAAGTTAAATCATGAAAATACAGAAAAATAGAATGGACTTAGAGTATGAAGACTGAATCAGTAATAAATGCCCAACAAAGAAGAGTCAAGGACCAGATGTCTTCACTGGTAAGTTCTACCTAACAGGTAAAAAGGAATTAACACCAATCCTTGTCAAAGTCTTCCAAAAACTTAAAAAGATATCCTAATTCATTCTATGAAATCAGCATTACCTGATACCACAGACATAAAAACTTCAAAAAACTGATAGACCATTATCTTATACTACTGATACAACAATCTTTAACAAAATACTAGCAAACTCAATTCATTAGCGTATTTTTTAAAAGATTTTATTTATTTATGAGAGACACAGGCAGAGAGAGGCAGAGACACAGGCAGAGGGAGAAGCAGGCTCCATGCAAGGAGCCTGATATGGGACTTGATTCCTGGACCCTGGGATCAAGTCCTCAACCACTGAGCCCCTCAGGCACCCAATTCATTGGCATATTAAAAGGACTATATAACCATAGCCATGTGAACCTATTCCTGGAAAAAAGGGATGGTTCGATACAAGAAAACCAATCAATGTGACAGACCATATTAAGAGAATGAAGGAAAAAAAAAAAAACATGATTATTTCAATTGATGCACAAAAAAAGCATTTGAAAACATTCAAAACCCTTTTCTGATTATAAAAAAGCACCTAATAAACTAGGAATAAAAGAGAACATGATAAAATCATATATGAAAATCCCATGGCTAACACCAGATTCAATTATGAAAGACTGAAACCTGCACCTTAAAATCAGGAACAAGACAATGCCTACTCTCATCATTTCTATTTTATATGGTCTTGGAAATCCTAGCCATAGCCATCGTGATTAGGTAAGAAGAGAAAGAAAACATATCAAAATTGGAATGAAGGAAGTAAAATCATCTTTCTCCCAAGATGACATGATTTTATAGGTAAAAAATTTATATCCCTCCCCAAAGAAGGCCCCAAAAGTGTTCACAGCACATGAAAGGAATCAGAAAAATTGCAGGATATAAAATCCAGTCAAAAATCAGTTGTACTTCTACTTGCAATTGAACAATCTGAAAAGGAAATTTTTTTAAGAGTTCATTATTACACCATCAAAAATAACAAAATACTTAGAATTAAATACAACCAAGATGGCTCAGGACTTATACATTGAAAAATCTAAAACACGGGATCCCTGGGTGGCTCAGTGGTTTGGCGCCTGCCTTTAGCCCAGGGTGTTAATCCTGGGAGTCCACACACCCGGCTACCTGCATGAAGCTTGCTTCTCCCTCTGCCTGTATCTCTGCCTCTCTCTCTGTGTGTCTCTCATGAATAAATAAATAAAATCTTAAAAAAAGAAAGAAAAATATAAAACAATGCTGAAAGTTTAGAAGACCTAAATAAATGAAAAGACACTGTGTCTTCATGAACTTGAGATGTAACACTGTTAAGGTGACAAGACTATCCAATGCAAAGTAGATTTGATGCAATCCTTATCAAAATCTCAAGA